TAGCAGCTTTAGCACATTGTACGTGAAAGTGGAGATAAGACCTCTTACACCTACCTCGAAGGCGAAGATTTTTTACTGCGTACGATTCGTCTCACCTCAGACCGGCCACGAGCTCGCAGTACTTCTCAAGCTTGTACATCTGATTTTCTTCCATCCGCGACTGGTACGGCACGATCAGCTCTATCAAGATGAGCTGTCGTTTTTGTCCACAGAGTGCAGGACTGTGCCAGGTCTCAGGCCGGTCTTCCGGATTGACTCTTGGTACCTTTCTGAACCAGGTAGGTCGACAGCCAGTAACCAGTCCCTCTGACAGTCAACTACTGATGACGCGCATGCCACCTTGTTGATTGTACGTTTATAAATCTGCCCAGCCTTGAGGAAGCGCATGGGGGTGACGGTGGGACTGGTCCTCGCTCTGGCCCTCATCCTGGCTTGGTCCACAATGTCAGCTGGCTCTTTTAGGACTTTATTGTGGCGCCAAGTAGATCGTCCCTGGCCAAGGGCTTTTCTTCACGTGTTTCTAATGTAGACGGTGGTTTCTTAAGGTGTCATTGGGTGACAGTGACATCGAATTTTATGTCTCCGTTCGTTATGTGCGCTAGGTGTTGCATCACAACACAGCACATGGCGACTGCACTTTGGGAGTCTGCCATCCAAGAACAACGTGATACTGTGCGTTTATTTTTTTTTGGGGGGGGGGGGGGGCGGGGGGGTGGGTGGGGGTGAGGTTGGAGGGAGGTAGAATGGCTGCCTGCAAAGGACATAAATAGAAATTGTTTCCTGTTTGTACGGATTCATATTGTAAAGATCTATCGATGTCTCGTGATGTAATTTAAAAAAAAAAAAGAAAAGAAAAAATTTAAACCTGTTGACTAGAGGGGTACCGCTCCTTCATTACAATGCCATACCATATATGGCTCGTTTAAGAGAAAATTAACTATTTAGGATGAGAACTCCTAAAGCATCCACCTTACAACTCCGACCTAGCCCCTAATTATTTCCATTTTTTTTTTTACCATTGAAAACCCTTCTTGGTGGGAGACATTTCGCGAATGACGCAGACGTTGAATGTAAAGTAAAAATATGGTTTAGAAAACAGAGCATGCACTTCTATGCAGCAGGTTTAGGGGTGACAGATTAAACGATGGGACAAGTGCATCAATGTTGGTATAAATTATGTTGGGAAATAAAGCAACAGTGTGTGCAAAAATAAACAGTTTTTAAGTTGTTATCACCCTTAGTTTTTTTTTTTTTTTTTTAACAACCAGTTATGACTTACTTATCTTCATCATCATAGCGATGATCATCGTCGTTGTGGTCGTCATCATCACCATCACAGCAGTCAGTGTACCATTCTATATCAGAAAGGGGTCCCAGTCTATTATGTGCAATCATAAAACTCCAGAGGCGGGCCCCACACCCTACCCTCTCCTTTCTTATCCGGCCTTGGGACCGGCATTGGCAGAGATAGTGTTAATACTCACGGATAATGAAACAGTTGTCTGATTTATGCAGGTTCCACTGCAGACATAAATGATCTTTTCATTCATGTACAGGACAGTGTGTTTATTATTGGGATGGCCTCGGTTATTTGGTAATCTTAGATTCAGCTTCATAGCTAACAGGTCACACATAGTCATTCTGCTCCAGTTGCAATGGAAAAACAACAAAAACATGCACAGAGAAGATCCATCACTGTCCTTAATGGAAAAACTAGCACAGATTTCAGACACTAACTGCAGTCTCAGTATATCCATTAGCACAGACTTCAGACACTAACTGTAGTCTCAGTATATTCGCTAGCACAGAATTCAGACACTAACTGCAGTCTCAGTATATCCGCTAGCACAGAATTCAGACACTAACTGCAGTCTCAGTATATCCGCTAGCACAGACTTCAGACACTAACTGCAGTCTCAGTATATTCGCTAGCACAGACTTCAGACACTAACTTCAGTCTCAGTATATCCGCTAGCACAGAATTCAGACACTAACTGCAGTCTCAGTATATCCGCTAGCACAGATTTCAGACACTAACTGCAGTCTCAGTATAACGGCTAGCATAGACTTCAGACACTAAGTGCAGTCTCAGTATATCCGCTAGCACAGACTTCAGACACTAACTGCAGTCTCAGTATATCCGCTAACACAGACTTCAGACACTAACTGCAGTCTCAGTATATCCGCTAGCACAGACTTCAGACACTAACTGCAGTCTCAGTATATCGGCTAGCTTAGACTTCAGACACTAACTGCAGTCTCAGTATATTCGCTAGCACAGACTTCAGACACTAATTACAGTCTCAGTATATCGGCTAGCACAGACTTCAGACACTAACTGCAGTCTCAGTATATCGGCTAGCACAGACTTTAGACACTAACTGCAGTCTCAGTATATCCGCTAGCACAGACTTCAGACACTAAGTGCAGTCTCAGTATATATCGCTAGCACAGACTTCAGACACTAACTGCAGTCTCAGTATATCGGCTAGCATAGACTTCAGACACTAACTGCAGTCTCAGTATATCCGCTAGCACAGACTTCAGACACTAACTACAGTCTCAGTATATCTACTAGCATAGACTTCAGACACTAACTGCAGTCTCAGTATATTCGCTAGCACAGACTTCAGACACTAACTGCAGTCTCAGTATATCCGCTAGCACAGACTTCAGACACTAACTACAGTCTCAGTATATCTACTAGCATAGACTTCAGACACTAACTGCAGTCTCAGTATATTCGCTAGCACAGACTTCAGACTCTAACTGCAGTCTCAGTGTATCGGCTAGCACAGACTTCAGACACTAACTGCAGTCTCAGTATATCGACTAGCACAGACTTCAGACACTAACTGCAGTCTCAGTATATCGACTAGCACAGACTTCAGACACTAACTGCAGTCTCAGTATATTCGCTAGCACAGACTCCAGACACTAACTGCAATCTCAGTAAATCCACTTTTTATTTATTGTTTTTTAAAACGTATCTTTCAATTGTAGGAAAAGTAGGGAACAAATTACAAAATTGTATTGTAACAAACCAACGGGAAATCACGTTTCGGCTAACAGAGACACTTGCTAACGAATATGATCCTAGAGCCAATTGTTTTTGTTTGGGAAGTATCATAACATTGTACTGTGTATGTTGCTAGGATTGCTGCCTGTCACAGTGACAGTGACAGTACCTTTGTTATCACCTGAGTGTGGGTTTGAAAGATGTTTCCACGTGTAGTCTATCGGAAAAGAAAAGACAAGGGGGTGGATAGACCCAATGTCCCCAAAAAGCATGTGTGAGAAGGTGACTTATCAGTTAAATTGAATGTAAAAGTAGCAGATATCACAGCTGTAAATCACAAAATAAAGTGCCTAAGGGTGAATTAAGGAGACAAAGAAAGAAGAAGTAAAAGAAGAAGAAAAATATTGACTCAAAAAGACATCTGTTTACCCGTAAAATCGACATTTTACAAAGCACTCTAAAAAAGAGGGGACTTTGAGTGGATCCTGACAACATGAAGATTGAGGAGACGAGAAGGAGGAGTCTAGAAAGAGGAGAAAGAGGAGAAAGAAAGGAAGAAAGGAAGGAAGAAAGAAAGAAAGAAAGAAAGAAAGAAAGAAAGAAAGAAAGAAAGAAAGAAAGAAAGAAAGAAAGAAAGAAAGAAAGAAAGAAAGAAAGAAAGAAAGAAAGAAAGAAAGAAAGAAAGAAAGAAAGAAAGAAAGAAAGAAAGAAAGAAAGAAAGAAAGAAAGAAAGAAAGAAAGAAAGAAAGAAAGAAAGAAAGAAAGAAAGAAAGAAAAAAAGAAAAAAAGAAAAAAGAAGACAGAGGACAGGGGGAAAGAATAAACAATTGAACATTGCAACATTGAGAAACATTCTATCGGAAACATTCGTCTGTTCATGAGGGATGCGGTTGTGCACAGATGTGATGAACTTCCCGTCCCAGGAGCAGGAAGAAGGACAAGGGGGAGGTGAAGGTGAAGGAAAAATGTTAACGAAGAGGAAGTGACGGATAAGATTGTGCTTCACATACTCATTGACAGATACTTTTGCTTTAATATCCCTATGTTACCGTCATTTGTTTGTTGATGTCATTCGTAGAAACCTTCGTATTTACTTCTGTTGTTGCATTTCGCCTCTTAGGCTTCTGTGTAACATTTCACAGGCAAAACAATGGCCGAGGGCTGCAACAAAAGCGACAAGACAACATAATCAAACATCTCAATGTCTCGTTACATCATCTTCCCTGTCTGTTATGACAAGCAAATCAAGTACAGAGAAATAAAACAACGCTGCACCTACTAAAGGGATACAAACCATAACAGAGTTAGATACTGTTGGCGGCCGGAAAGATGGATCGCCTTGGGAAATTGAAATTCAATCTAAAATATAGAATGCAATGAATGGGCAGACAGATAGCATTTACAGTTCACAGACAAGTGTGACCGGTCAGCGTGTGGGTACTGGGAAAACTAAAACACGTTCCAATGACAACATGATGAGAGTAAGCTGAAAAGACCGCGGTAAGAGCCTCGGACGAGCACTTTGGGAGCGGATTGTAAAGAGATAGACGGTCTGTCTGCATTGTTACCAGCATGAATACGCCCTCTAATACCCTGCAGGCGTTTCGAGCCAGCAGTCGATAACCCAATAAGCAGCCTTGGGTCTCCTCCGCCGAAATAGGGTCCACGCATGCGGGAGAGAGCGGCTAGCTCATTAAAAACCAACAACCGATCGCTCTGTGGAAACGAGGAATTACTTCGCCAAAGAGGAAGTAAAAAACAAGCCGCTGCCGGTAATCAGATTGGGAGACGGCTAGCCCTGCCCACTAGAGTACCTCCTTCACGCTGTGATTGGTTGAAATGTTAGGGGCGCGCACGATTTTCTATTGACTCAAGGATATTTAATTCGTATAGAAAGACAGTTGTCCCGAAGTTGAAGAACGTTGAAGGTTTTTTTTTGTTCCCCCGTACTGGTCGGTCGGTATTTGGTTGTGTTATCATCATGGAGCAAGTTAAACCAGGACCAACTGTGTTCTCATTCTTCCCGAATCATTTCGTTCCTAATATGACAAGGTAAGTTAAATTGCTATCGAATAAGCGCGTGAATGTTCATTTTAAGTGTTATATTTATTTATATTTGTCGTATCAAATATTTGTATTTAGATAATCGTTCTTCGTGTAGAGCTTATAAGCATATGCGTGACTTCTTCGTCATTTCTCTTTTGAAGGGTGGTTGGCATGCTGTGTTATGTTTACAGCTAAGCAGCGATATCTGTGCTAGCCGCCTCGGACAATGTGCTTGTTGGAGGTGAGGGGGGTGGACAATGTACCCCTGGGATCCACACAGGGATGTGGGGGGGGGGGACAATGTACCCCTGGGATCCACACAGGGATGTGGAGGGGGGGGGGATGTACCTATGGGATCCACACAGGGATGTGGAGGGGGGGGGGGGAATGTACCCCTGGGATCCACACAGGGATGTAACTGCGGCCAACATTGGCAAGGAATGTTCCTGTACCGTGTGACCATGGGACTGAGATAACTGAATGAGAAAACACAAACAGTAAACTAATAATCAGGAAACATTTGTTAAAAAGCAATCTACCTAGCAGGAATAATTTCATAACTATTTTGTTCTTGATAGTGTAATTCTGTTGTTCTTCTTCGCGTCTATCATCATCATCATGTAGCAGGACCTTTGCAGAACGTAGCTCTCATCGCAGTCTGCCTGAAAGAAACTGTCTCTCGCCAGTTCTCCCGCCTCATGAACTTTCATACTGACTGACTGACTGACTGACTGACTGACTGACTGACTGACTGACTGACTGACTGACTGACTGACTGACTGACTGACTGACTTTCCACCCCACCAGGACATCACACAAGCGACAAACACCCGATAACACAAAGTGCCACCATGTGGATGAGGATCGCCGTGGAGAGGTCCCAGAAACCGCGTTCAGGCAATTGGCCATATTTATGGCCTGCCTATATTGCGGCCCCTGGCAAAAGTGGGGTTCAAATATCAAAAACTTTCGTCCTAAAAAGGACGAAACACCTATTGCTAGGTGAGCTGATTATCTATAGCTGTACTTTCATACTCAAGGAGTCACTTAAATCCTGTGTCCATCTTTGTGTCGGTCGGCCCCTGCCCCTCCTTTCTGGTACCATGCCTTCTGCTATAATTTTTTGATATGACCAAAATACTTCAGCTTCCGAGAAAGGATGCTGTTTATTAGCCAATCTTCATTGATGTTCGGATCGTTTAAGATGTCAATATTTCTCCTCTTCTTTGTCCAAGATATTCTGAGCGTCCACTGGTTGTAAACTCTAGCGGAATGTTCTGGTTGTTCGTCCAATTCTGGACTTTTGTCTTTTCCCCAAAACTTTAGTCTTGCCTGCATAAGATTTTAATATCTGACTTATTTGTGTGCAGACTGCTGGTTTTGCGTCTCTCATGCAGATGTACTCCGATGTCGAAGGACACACCCATAATTTGTCGAATTTTACGACATGCTTCGCGAGAAGGCTCTTTCTGTGTTACTTTCCAGAATAATTCATAGCCAGACACTGGTCAACCTCTGTGCCCAGGCCACTGATACAAAATTGTCTCGGTGAGATTTCGAACTGGTAATCACCAAGCCGGCAGGCAAGTTTAAGACTCACAGGGCCACATCGGCTCCCAAGTAAAATGTGACGAACATGCACAAATCGTGGAACTGACAATAGTACTCTTCAATCTGAGCCAGGGCCACATCGGCTCCCAAGTAAAATGTGACGAACATGCACAAATCGTGGAACTGACAATAGTACTCTTCAATCTGAGCCAGCTGTTGACTAAAATAGAAAACGTCCAATATGAGATTCAAACCCACGAACATGACATTGAAAATCTCATACCCCACTGAGAGAGCGGACGGCACAATAAAATAGACCCGACTGAGGAAAGACTGAGACGGTACACTATACTTTTCATTTGTGTTGTTCTCATTGTTGTTATTGTTGTTGTTATTGTTGTTGTTGTTCTTGATGGTGGGGATAGATTGTTTTGTTTGACAGTAGCATTTAGGATAGGATTCCATTGTTTAATGCAAATTTGCTGTTCCGCGGCGCCTCCGGGTTATGATACTAGCATTGTTTTCTTTCATAGACAATCGATTGCCAGTGTGGTCAATACCACAACTGCCGTCTTTACTTCCCGTTACCAAGCTAGGTCAACCCGGGAGCCAAGTGGTTAATAAAAACGTCCGACTCGAGGAGGACTGGAACCCCCGACCTGCGGGCCAGCGGACTACCTTGACTGTCTGTAGCTACCACTGATGAGGCGGGTACAGCAGGGGGTCATGAGCCTGAGCATTTAGGGTCGCATGGTCGGTGCAGTCGCCACTCACTGTGCAGGTTAGAATACCTATCTTTGCCTACGACAGAAGAGATTTTCATCTCTCACCAATGATGGAACCTGGACGTCCTACAAGATATTCCAGCAGCCTAACCACTGGACCAGCCGCTCGTGTACATGAACATATATCCTAGAATAGAAGTCAATGGTCTATCGCTTGGTGTTCTTCCCTGTCAGTCAAGTAGGGGCCTCATGTGCAACCGTCTAGCTTTACTTGCTGATGTTGTCAATGGGGCACCTTTTTGTCCCAGATCATGTCCTGTAACTATATTAGCCTAAGTGGGATAAACTAAAATCTAATACACGTGTTCTGAAAAGGCTGGGAACGTAGAGGGAGTTGCTGAAATAAAGAAATAAAACTGAGAGAAGTGAAATCTCTCCACACTGAAATACATAGCACGTAAGAACTTCACAAGTTTCACAATCTATTGGAAAATACCTGGGAACAAAAGACGACCAGGTTGAAAAGTAAATTGTTGTATATATGCTGTCTCTGCAATCAGGGTTGGCTGTAGAGGTTAGGTGCCTTTGATGTTGTGTTGAATTTTACAGCACTAGGCTGCCAGCTTCCATGGTGCGACTCTCGAATGTTTCCTTTACAAGACATCTTAACTAACCATATCGGCTGTCTGTGGGTTTTTTAGTGCTTTCTAACAATGATGGTTGTCTACAGTTTACACACTGTTGTCTCAACAATGATGGTTGTCTACAGTTTACACACTGTTGTCTCAACAATGATGGTTGTCTACAGTTTACACACCGTTGTCTCAACAATGATGGTTGTCTACAGTTTACACACTGTTGTCTCAACAATGATGGTTGTCTACAGTTCAGAGACTGTTGTCTATGGGTGTATTTCATTCCGAGGACTCAACCTCCGACACAGTGCGACTCTCGTACCGTTGTCCTTAAAACCTCGACAACAGCTTTTCATTGCGGAAATCGAGCCTTAGTGCCCGAGGATCACGGAATAGTTGACCGCGTTCACTAACCTCCCAGCTACAGAGCTGCAATTTGTGATTGTTACCAGGTAATTTTATGTTGAGTAGTTTGTCACTGCCACGGTTTCACCACCGTAAATACAGTTGTCGGAACAAGACAAAGCCATTTGCTACTAAAACTGTTTACAGTCAAAAAGTAAACGATATTTGGAATTATGAAACTGAGTCCATAACGCCTAAATCACAGAAACTAATATGCGTTTGGCAAGTAAGCAAACACAAATCTGTCTATACACCACTAGCGGATAGAAGAACTTATCGTGATTTTTTTTTGGAGGGGACGGATAAATAACAAACAAACCAGAGACATTGAGCGCCGTCCACCTGTGACTCCAAAGCCAAGTTGATACTAAAATTGAGCAGTGCGTTGTGAAAGCCATGCAAGATCTCACAGTCGGAGTCAGCAGACAGTACATAACAGGTATTGCCAACGTCAAGACAGTCGGAGTCAGCAGACAGTACATAACAGGTATTGCCAACGTCAAGACAGTCGGAGTCAGCAGACAGTATATAACAGGTATTGCCAACTTCAAGACAGTCGGAGTCAGCAGACAGTACATAACAGGTATTGCCAACTTCAAGACAGTCGGAGTCAGCAGACAGTACAGAACAGGTATTGCCAATGTCAAGACAGTCGGAGTCAGCAGACAGTACAGAACAGGTATTGCCAATGTCAAGACAGTCGGAGTCAGCAGACAGTACATAACAGGTATTGCCAATGTCAAGACAGTCAGGGACTTGCTGAGGAGAAAATTGCAACCCTTATATTTATGTCTTTGGTGCCATGAAGATTATCTGGCGCATTACTAAACAACTAATTTACAGTATCTCTGTGACTCCGTCTTCTCCGGGTCATCTGATCTAGTCGGCGACAATGTTTGCTCCTCTACCTGTGGCTGTCTAGCGTAATGGTCCAGTCAGTTTTGCAGCTGGTATCACTTCCATTATGTCGATGCCTACATGTCAAACAAGCCACACATGGTATACATAACACTTGACAATTATCATTAAAAAAATTAATTAAAAAAAAAAAGCATTTTAAATAATAAAACCCTGTTGCTAAACGAAGCGAGCGATCGCATGTAAAAGTAAAAAGTAAAGATTCCTTTTCACGCCTTTAGGCGCATCGGGCATATAGGAAGAGCACCTATCGGCACTAGGTGGGTAATGTGGTCAGCATTACGCCGACCGTCTTTACTTCCTCAGGACATATATCCTGGTACCCATTTTAGGCTAAGTCGGCCTGTGACGCCCCACAACATTATAAACATCCAACGATCACATGTATGCAGGGTAAATGATTCTTTCCCTCGTCTACAGCATGGCTGCTAACCGCTTCCGGGTTCCTGTGCAACCCCACTTTCAGTTCGGACCAGCCGCAGTATTTCCAGTTGTGCACCAGAGCCGGATCCCTCATCCCATGATCTTAAATCACCAACCGCCGGCCATTAGCGTCCCTCGCAAGTACGTGCCTCCAGTTGCTCCAGTGACCACTGCTGCTCCCATCCCACCACCGCTGACCTTCAGCCAGGAGGAGGTGGACATGGTTCTCTATGGCTACACCAAAGGCAGGGCCTCGGACAGGTTCCATGGACATGCGCTGTCTGGGCTCAAGTTTGGACACGTTAGTCACAGTAAGTTCTTGTGTTGTTGTTTGTCTGGTTTCTGGAATTGCTGTGTCGTCTTTACTGATGGAAGTTTGTGTTTTGTTGTTTCTGTGACTTTTTGAAGTCCTGTGTCGTCTTTGCTAAAGGGAGTTTGTGTATTATTTTCCGTGTGGCTTCTGGAAGTGTTGTGTCGTCTTTACCGAAGTAAGTTTTATGAGCTGACGTGAGTTTCTTGAAGGTCTTTGTCCAGAAAAAAAAGGGTGGGGGGGGGGGGGTGGTAAGTAGCATTAATCGTTGCTGTTGGGGAAGGATGGTGATGAGGCTACGGAGGAGAAACGGAAAGGGGGAGGAGGATCAAGAAGAAGAAAAAAAAGAGTATGATATGGCATAAGTAGGTGTACAAGAAGAAGACACAAAGTACTGAGTCTGGTGGTAATAGTTTTAGTTCTAGTGTCAGCAGCAACAGCAGCAGCAGTATTATTAACATTATTATAACTATTATTATTACTATCATTATAAGTAGTAGTAATAAAATAATAATGATAATAATACAAATAATAACAAAAAGAAGGAGAAGAAGAAGAAAAAGAGGGCTCCCCTTGTCACCTGGATATCTTCCGTAATAGCAACGAACAGTTTTTCCCCTGCAGTGAAAAACTGCCTCAACCCCCACCCTCCTTTCTCCCCATCCCCCACACCCATCCGATCTCTTCATCCCCACCACCTTTCTAGACTGTTAAGTGAAGGGTTGACACCCCCGTCAAAACGTCTCCTGCTTCTGTATGTCACCCATCGTGACAAATCCCAGGTACCTGTTCAACCAGCCAAGAAGTTATCATTCAGGGACAGGTAACTGTGACAGCGAGTACTACCCCGCTGCACACTGCTGTCTAGACAGGTTGGATGATAGCCATGCTCAGGGAAACGTGTCTCAAGTGTCACCTGAAAACAGCCATCAGCCAAGATAGATTTCCAACCTAATTAAAGACTGGCGCGCCGGTGCAGTGTTGACATCCATTGTCTGAGTGAGCAGGTCTTGGAGTAGTTCTCTGACACCCGTGTGTACCAAGCCGCTGCTGTAGCCTTGAGTCGGGACGTTAACAGAGGTTTGGTCACGCAGGCACTGATATGGGAGAGAGAGGTTCACATCTCACCTCAATGTTTTAAAGGCACTGGGTACTCTTAGGAGTTGGAAACCTATGAGCCCCAGTGAGCTCTTTATGTCATTCGTCTTATTTCACGTATATGTTTATTTGTCATTCTGTACATATTATTATTATTACACATTTGAAAAAGGCTTACACAGCTTGAGCCCTTTTGTAAGAAGCTCGACCCGCCCCCTTCCCCCATTATTTTACTATGAATAGGCGCCCCTGAGTTCTAAGTCGTCTGACATTATTTCCATTCCGGGCTCCTACTAAAAGGTTGGACATCCCATGACAAAGTTGCATCCCGAATGTCAATCAACTGGATCCAACTTCAGATACGTTGGTCAACCCCCGTCCCTCTCATTTTGTTGTTGCTGTTGCATAAAGGTTATAATTATGGCACCAGTAGCGGCTAGACAATGTATTATCCAGTTACAACTAACTTGGGCGAATAAATAGTGAAAGTTTTATCAGTACCATGTTGTTTGCAGATCTGACTGTTGACTTATTGTCTCTACGGTCTTGCTAGATCATGACAGTGTTACCAGTGCCATGTTGTTTGCAGATCTGACTGTTGACTTACTGTCTCTAAGGTCTTGCTAGATCATGACAGTGTTAACAATGCCATGTTGTTTGCAGATCTGACTGTTGACTTATTGTCTCTGAGGTCTTGCTAGATCATGACAGTGTTACCAGTGCCATGTTGTTTGCAGATCTGACTGTTGACTTATTGTCTCTGACGTCTTGCTAGATCATGACAGTGTTACCAGTGCCATGTTGTTTGCAGATCTGACTGTTGACTTATTGTCTCTAGGTCTTGCTAGATCATGACAGTGTTACCAGTGCCATGTTGTTTGCAGATCTGACTGTTGACTGATTGTCTCTAAGGTCTTGCTAGATCATGACAGTGTTACCAGTGCCATGTTGTTTGCAGATCTGACTGTTGACTGATTGTCTCTAAGGTCTTGCTAGATCATGACAGTGTTACCAGTGCCATGTTGTTTGCAGATCTGACTGTTGACTTATTGTCTCTAGGTCTTGCTAGATCATGACAGTGTTACCAGTGCCATGTTGTTTGCAGATCTGACTGTTGACTTATTGTCTCTAGGTCTTGCTAGATCATGACAGTGTTACCAGTGCCATGTTGTTTGCAGATCTGACTGTTGACTTATTGTCTCTAGGTCTTGCTAGATCATGACAGTGTTACCAGTGCCATGTTGTTTGCAGATCTGACTGTTGACTTATTGTCTCTGAGGTCTTGCTAGATCATGACAGTGTTACCAGTGCCATGTTGTTTGCAGATCTGACTGTTGACTTATTGTCTCTGAGGTCTTGCTAGATCATGACAGTGTTACCAGTGCCATGTTGTTTGCAGATCTGACTGTTGACTTATTGTCTCTGAGGTCTTGCTAGATCATGACAGTGTTACCAGTGCCATGTTGTTTGCAGATCTGACTGTTGACTTATTGTCTCTGAGGTCTTGCTAGATCATGACAGTGTTACCAGTGCCATGTTGTTTGCAGATCTGACTGTTGACTTATTGTCTCTGAGGTCTTGCTAGATCATGACAGTGTTACCAGTGCCATGTTGTTTGCAGATCTGACTGTTGACTTATTGTCTCTGAGGTCTTGCTAGATCATGACAGTGTTACCAGTGCCATGTTGTTTGCAGATCTGACTGTTGACTGATTGTCTCTACGGTCTTGCAAGAAGACAAGTAAACACACATTTAGATCCACTTCAAACAGCTGAAACAGATGTGGGTTATAATTGTGGTGATCTTTATGTGGTTATCTTTCCTGGTGATTGTCCTTCTTGAATTCCTACTGCGTATTTTGTTTTTTAAAAGAATATTTTGTGCGTGGCTATTCTACGTAACAATAGAGCTTCTTGATATAGTGCTGGACGCTTCTGGTTCACCAATGTCGCGGCTGTCTAAGGAGGAACCCACTGTCGGTTATTTAGGGTAATTTGGTTTCGTTCACGGTAGGGAGTGGTTCTTTCCAGGGTACATTAGGTGGAGTACTCACCCTGATCGGGCACACCTGACTCAACAGTTTTTAAAAATGTACACCAAATGAAGACTAGGTTTGCAATAAGATCAGTATTCTGTCGACCGTCTTTACTTCCTGTGACATTTCCGGTTACATATTTTGGGCAGTCATTACATGAGTTACATGGATACAACACGCGATAGCAGAATTAAAAAAAATCAAATCAGTTGTCCCAAGTACAACACATTAAGTTAAGACAAACCTTTTGGCCAAGAGAAACACCGGTGCAATCCAAATTTTAGGGGTCGCTGAGTGCGTTAATAACGACAGTGAAGTTCATATCAGAAACAGCATTGCATGTATAGATAATCTATTTGTAGCGAACGAAAGAAGAAGAAGAAGAAGTTGGACATATTCCCCTCAACAAAACCAAAAGCTCTGATTCAAACATATCATAACATAAACAACGTCTCCATATTACATGTAGTCTGATGATTGGCACTCTTAGTAAGAGAAGAGAACCAGGGAAAGCCAACAAAAAACAAATAAATCGACAGTTGTAGATTCTTTGTTATCTAAGGTATTTAAATATATGAATATATATATATATATATATATATATATATATATATATATATATATATATATATATATATATATATATATATATATATATATATATACTTATTTCTTCTATATCTGTGAGTGTCAATCAATATATGGGTCATCATCTCCATATCACCCCTATTGTGTCTTTTAAAGGTGGTGAGCGTTGGGTCTAGACCCTGATTCCTTGTCTAATCAGTATATTACAGGCTGTTCAACTGACTAAATCTGTGGCCTCAAGGGATCTATCGAGATTGACCCTTTAGATGTACAACTTATAACTTTCTTTTTGTTGTCTCACTGACAAAGTTATCTCCGGCTTGTTGCCATTATACTGTCATGAGCTAATCCAGCCGGCACAACGGCGAGGCTTCATTCGGTCACTTGACACGAGTGGTCGTCTGGTCGTCTCATTGCAGATGTTGACATGTCTGATCCGTTTGTCTTTATCCGACTGTGCTGCTTTAGTCCACTTTAGGCAGCCAGTTATTTTACTGGTTAGGTTATTGCCACCACTCATGCTAAAACTGTTGAACACTTTGACGGACACGCCGTTGTTATTTCAACTTGCTCCGTCTGAGGCAATTGCTGTTTTAATTAACTTCTTCCAGGCACTAGTTACGTCATCTCACTTTTTCTGTAGCAGTTTTTACTTTCACATTCTGCATCGGAGACAAGTGGATATTGATTTGCTGTGACCGCCACGGGTGGAGAGATCCGATCAGACATCATCATTAGCATCATGTAGCAGGTCCTTTGCAGAACGTCGCTCTCATCACAGTCTGCCTGAAAGAAACTCGGTCTCTCGCCAGTTATACTGCCTCATATACTTTGATAATCAAGGAGTCACTTATATCCTGTGCCCATCTTCGTGTCGGTCGGCCCCTGCCCCTCCTTCCTGGTACCATACCTTTTTCTATAGTTTTTTTTTCCAATCCGTTGTGGCGCTTGATATGACCAAAATATTTCAGCTTCCGAGAAAGGATTCTGTTTATTAGCCAATCTTCATTGATGTTCAGATCTTTTAAGATGTCAATATTTCTCCTCTTCTTTGTCCAAGATATTCTGAGAATCTTTCTATAGCATTTCAGCTCAAAAGCCCCTATTCTCTTTCTTAAGGACTGAGAGAAAGTCCACGACTCACATCCATATGTAGCCACAGGAAAGATGCATGCTCTCAAACTCCTTGCTGGTGCTTAACCATAGACTTTTAAGGCTGTTCAATCTTTGCATTGCCAAGGCCAACCTCCTTTTAATTTCTGTTGAACAGTCTTCATTGC